ACCAGGACTCTCTGCGGCAGACTGCCCTGTTCTGCAGAGAAACAGACCCCAAACTCTGCTCTATCAGCTTGGCAGAAATGAGCACCCCTCTTCCCTTGTACCCAGGTGCTCACGACAAGAAAATGGATACCAGAGCTGCCTTACCCTGGGAACATCTACAAGCCAGAGTCTGTGCTGAGGGTTTTTCTAATTTTCAGCTACAGCTCTTCCGGGGCCCAGATCCCTGCCAGGCCCTTGCTTAGCCTACGCTGTCCACCCTGGGCCAGCCGGAAGGCAGACAGGAGGTCTTCTCTCCCTCAAACTCCTTCTCTGCAGGCAGATCCTGTGCCCAGCCAGGCCCCCCGCTGGAGGTCCATGCTCACTGAGGGCCCGGCCTGGCTGTGTGGATATGCTTTTGTTCCAATGACAGCTTCTTGCCCCCTCATCCCGCAAGGAAGATGACTCAATGTCCTCTAGACCCTGCTAGTCTCCAGCAGGTACTCAGCCATGGGTCCCAGCCAAGGCACCCCAGGGTTGACACGAATGGTAAGGGATATGGTCTGGAGGAAGCGGCCTCTGCTGGCCTGTTCTTGTCCCACTGATGCACCCATGCCCTGTCATTCAGGTTAACACGTAGCAATAGCCAGCCAGGACTCCTTCTTCCAAAGCAAGACAGAGGCTGACCACTACAGCTTGATCCTAAAGGGTCCACTGAGGAGTGGGGCTTGGAGATGGGAGGGGCCCTCCTATAGACCCCCCCTTGCCCCACCCGCACTCCCCAGCACACAGAGAGTGGACCTGTGTCTGGATGTGAGAGCCAGAGCCAGCGCTCTGAGGGAAGAGCCTGGGGTGGAGCCATAGGCCTGGCTTGAGGAGAGTCCTACAAAGTCCCATAAAGGGGTGGAAACATTACACCCACCCCTGAACCTCAGCTTCCTGCCGCGCATGGTGACCCACTTGATCATGACCCCCAAGCTGTGCCTGCCATGCTCTGGATATGAGCCTGGGACAGTTATAAGAAATGAAAAGTCTCTGAAGAGTAGCCCTTTAATGAGTTCACCATTGGAGTGAATGTACAAGTGGAAAGCCTGCCAATTCCCGAGGCCCACTCTTCTGGAGGACCACCTAAGGAGTGCCAGGCTGATTGTCATCCCCTCAGTCTGTGTCAGCACCAATTAGGGAGGGCCTAAGTTGGCGGGCAGTGTCCTTGGCAGTCCCGGGATGGCCTCCCGAGCCCAGCACGCCACTGCTTGGACTGCTAATGAGCTGGAGCAGAGCAGAGGGAGTGCGCTCTTTTCCAGAGTGAACCACTGTGCCCCATTCCTGAGTGTGTGCCATGGATCTGCCATGAGCCACATCAACCAAGGGAGGCAGGGGGAGGGCCCCAGGTTTAGCGGCAGCCACAGGGCAGGCTTGGAGAATCCCAGATCCTCAGGCTGTGGACCCAGCAGAAGGCTGGCTCTGGGGAAGGCATCTGGGCTGCCACTTGTTCCTGCTTCCCCCTCCGGAGCAACAACCGCTGCCGTTCTCATGTGTACTCCACCCTCAGGGGAGAGCAGGGCCGCTGCCGGCGAGGTAAGGAGACTGCACAGAGGGTTGACCCCCTCGGTTATTAGGACCAGAAGCAAACCCCACGTCCTTCCTCCCTCAGTTCCTTATCTAATGGCAACCTCTCGGAGCACATTCCACCACAGCAGGGCATGCAGATGGGACAGGCTGACAACATCTGACAACTAGAGGCCCACCGCCCATTCTTGTTTGCCTTTTCAGACAACAGAGGTTTCCTGAGCACCAGGTATGTGCCGGTCCCTGCTTTTGTTTAAGATGCTGCATGGAGGAGTCTAGGAGAGCACTGAAGAGAGAGTCCATTGTGCTCCAGGAAGCAGTCAGGGAAGGCTCCCCAGACCTGCAGTCTCCTGGCTGCACCCTGAATCTCTCCACCTCATGGCTCCCACCTCCCCAACCACTCTCTCAGCCAAGCCCAAAGTCCCTTTCCTGTCCCCTCCCCAGGCCTACCTGCTATACCCAAGCAGCCCATCCCTGGGCTGGCTGCTCATGTCCAGCCTGGGGGGGATGAGACCCCACCCTACCTCCTGCCCCTTCTTTTCTCTGGGCACCTGGTCTCGCCTGGCTTTCCTCCCCTTCTCTAGCTGCTCTCGTCATCCCATTCCTGGTGCCTCCTCTCCTGCACATCCTTGGATGTGGGACTCCTCAGGGCCATCATTTCAACCCTCACCCACCCATACCACCAGCTCTCAGCTTACAACCCCCACACCTTGCCTTCAACCCAGACCTGACTTCCGAGCCCAGAACATTTTCTCTACCCAACCCCTCCACCTAGATGGCCCACCGTGCCATCTCTAACTCACCACACCCCTTGATGAACTCTAACTCCCCAGAGTGTTCCTCCTTCAGTGACCCCTCGACTTAGAGAAATGTGCCCCCACCCTGCAGCCACCCAAACCAGAACCCTGGTGGTCATCCTTGAGTCCTCTCTCTCCCAAGCCCTCCTCCCAT